TTCATCTCCTCTTCACATGACATCCCCTATGTTACCCTCGCACTGATGATCAACTCGCCGCTTCCAACTCGAGTTCCACTCGAGCGATGGCCTACGGTGTGATGTGACTCACTTGAGGGTGATTTGTCTTCTTAGAGTATGGCCAGTCAGTCCACGTACATTTCCTCCTGCATATTGTTTTCAAATCGGCTCTTGCTGGGTTGGTTCTCTCATTGCCAGAGATCCCTATTGCTGATCTTTTCTGGCCGACTATCTTATCTTGAGTGGTATGGAGAGAACACAGCGGTTCATGAAGGTCTGTAGTTTGTTTAAGGTGCTCTTTATGCCTCGCCAAGTCTCTGGTCCATAAAGTAGCACTGACTTCATATTGCAGTTGCAAATCCGCATCTTAATTTTCATGCTGATTGTTGAGTGTTAACCTCCACACAGACTTGAGAGTAATAAGAGCTTGCCTTGCTTTCCCGATCCTTGTTGCTTTGATATCCTGGCCAGTTCCTCGTTTAGTTGAAACGATGCTTCTCAGGTAGGTGAAGGAGGCTACGCATTAACGGAAGTTAGAATTAACAGATTACTGAATTTTAATGCCTACATGTTCAAATATCTGGCCTCGTAAAAGAAGAGTCCTAGTTTCGAGTCCTGATGGATTTACTAAAGTGTCTCGAACTTGGACAGAACATCTGCCCAGTGCTTTCTGATTTTTAATGATTCTGTAATTGATGCTGGTTCAAGATTTAATCTAAACTGAAAGCACTATTTGACATGAGTCGCTAAACAATGAGATAAATGGATTTGAATAAAACACCAGCAGCAGTTTTTGCAGAATAAAATAGTACTCTAAACGAGGACTAGTCAAGACTCTATACTTTAGAGCTAAAAGATTGTGCTGTATAGAGAAATTATAAGAAGAATTTACGTTTTTCGAAGAGATATTGAAAAGCAACGTTTACCCTCAAGGATTTAATTGGTGGATGGTGACTAGCAGGGGAATTCAGCACGCGCATTTCGTTCTGTTTGGGACTCGTCCTCCAGCTGGATGTGCCTGCATTCCCCAGTGCGTGATGATGTACCCACCGGGGCTCGAATCCAGTGCCCATAGTTTCAAACGACAAAGCGTTATCCACTAGACCACTTGGGCCACAAGAGCCACCTAAGACCAAACACTTCGGTCCAATCAATCGATGGGAAAATCTAAAATTCAATTAAAGTTTATCCTCAAGGTTCATCAACAAGTAAGGAAGATCTGAAGACTTAAATGTCAAACAAATTACAGTGGGAAAGAGCTCATCTTCATTCAACTTGATTTTATAGGTGAAAATATTTCAGAAATTATCAACAGAAGATTGAGGACGTCATTAGGCAGAGGCACTCCTGCTACTACCTAAGCTTGTTCCCGTTTATGGAACAACATGCTCTTTGGTGCAATCGAAAATCGACAGATATCATTCTCATGTTAACAACTCCAACTGTACGTAGAAATTTACATGTATCTGCGGCAGCAATTATATTGGAAGAACAGAAACAAGGGCATACATCCGATTTTCTGAACATGTACCGAAAAGCTTATGTCTGAAGGGAACAAATGCTTTGAACAGTGCCATCGCCAGTCATCTCCTTGAAACGGGCTATGAGGTGGATGTCACCAAATCATTCGAAATTATCAATAGGCAAAATAGCTCGATTCTCCTCAAGTTAGCTAAAGGCATCTCCATCAAGCGCCTGAAACCTGACTCATGCGTTCAGAAAGAAGCAGTTATCATCAGTCTTCCTTTGCCCTGGTAGCTGGATGCCTTTACTCTCTCTTTCATCTGATTACGTAATGTCGAAAGTTTCAATTGTGTATGATCATTATTGTTTGAGATAAATAATAATAATTTGCTTTATTCCAAAACAGTACTTGTGATACAGAATGGAATTCTCAGCATTTTTCCTAACGTATTGCATCCAGTTAGTTCATTATCAATAAATAGAATTCTACATAGATTAAGGAAATCTCAGTTCATTATGACAACAACATATTGGCATGTCCATAGCAAAGCCAAAGTTGAATAGTGTTTGAAGGTGTTAGAAAAGTAGGTGATGTCATATTTACTGGCGTAAGTGAGAGAAAGAAACAAAGCAGCACGAAACGGAAAAAGAGAGAGAGAGAAAAGGAAAAGAAAGAAAGAAAATGTCTACCTATGAATTATATGAATTGAAAAGACGAGATCTAGTTGTTCTACCGTTTATTTAATGAATTATAGGTATCACGCCTAATGCTTTCTTTATTACACAGAACACGAGCCAAGTAGGGTATGGTTGAGTTTTTGTACTTGCTAGTGCGAGCATATAGTTTTCTATATAGGCTTCTGGTCCTGCCTGATGAGATACAAGGGGAGAGTTGTGAGTGAAGAGGGTGGTGTGAGTTAGATAGAATGGATTTGGCCCATTTTTCACATGAGTCCAAGTGCCTGTCAACCAGAATATTAACAAGCTGGTTAAGTGGCACGCTGCTTACCCTGCTGTGTTTATTAATATACATATTATTACTCTATGCATATATTGATTGATTTTTGTTTAAAAATGAACTCTGTGTGGAAGTATGTTAAAACTGTTTCTGTAGATATACTACTTAATAATGACTTTGGCCTGTGAACAGCAGCTGGGCTGATGACAAGCCAACGAAATAAGCAATGATGGTACCATTTTATTCTACACAAACCACTGTTGTTCTTGCTTTATTCAAATTCATCAGGGGGAATAAATTCATGAAATAAATGGATTTAGAACAAATGAGTGTGTATTTGAAATGGAAGATAAATATTAGTTTATTTTGGATACAATCAAGTGTGTAAATTATATGACTCTGAATGCTTTAACTAATTCCCAATGCAAAGAAACATAATTTTCAACGGTGGATGCTTTAGGAGCTTTATCTAAGAATTAACAGAGTTCGTTGTTCGTTTGTATCACTTGGGTCATACAGAACATCATAATTTCAGTTAATTTAAGTTTTTGTCATTACCTTTTTGCCTAACATTAATGCGTATTGAGTGGAACATTGAAGTTGTCAAAAATGCTCTGCAATATCTCAGGATTTCCAAAAACTCTTAAATGATACCTAACTACAGAAAATATTCTGTTGGATGTAAGGCAGATGCATCAGGAATGAGGATTTCAAAGCCATCTAGAATCGGGAAATCACGACCTGTGTTTTTTACTCTGAAACTAGAGCAGATAGCATCAGTACTAAGCACATGGAACAAGATTCGAATCGAGTACACTGTAATGGCAGTAGACAACTGCAGGGCAACAGATCGTTTATTGAGAAAATCAACAGATATTTATAGATTTTCATGTTTATTAATATTAGGGTTATTGTTAGCAGAGAGGTAACGTCTTCTGATTGGTTGCGTTTCTGCTAAAGGTTACTCTGCCATTTCTTTGTGGCCGTTTCTTAGAAAGTTAAGCCATATATTTGCGAATCGTATTTGCACACATTAAGTGTGCGGTGATTGGTTGTTGAGTTCCTCAAGATTAAGCTTTGTTATTGTTATTTCTCATGACCCCGATTCGGTAAGTAAACACTGACGTTACTTTTTGTCTACAGTTTCCAAAAGGACCGCTGTAGAGCCTCACCTCTTTCGCTCGATACTGCAAATCAAGTGACCAGAAATGATCTGCTACAGAGAACTTTGGGAACAAACCAACTACGAAACTATTGCCCAACATATGTTTAGAAGAATGTGGAATGTTGATGGGATATACGCCAAGAAAATCGTTGAATGACATCGCTCGCCAAGCCCTCGAATGGCATCTAGGTGGGAAATGGTGACATGGTCTCAGATCCCAGGGTAACATGAAGGAGATCATGATTGGAGAGATAAGAGCTTATGGACAATTATAGAATCAGTCGAAGATGACTGCATAGAACAGAATCAAATGGAGATGTGCAGTTGAATTCTTGTTTTTCACTGGGAATCCCAGTGGAATAATAATATCGACATCCCAGTGATAAGTGATTGCATTCCTCACTATATCACGTGTCAAGTGATCCACAACGAAAAACTCAGTGAGGTGTTCGAAGTGCATACAGCAGTAAGACAAGCTGACTGCCTGCCTATTATCACCGATGGTATTCTTAATCGTGGTGGACTGGATTATGCGTCAGAATATTGGGGGTGAGGATTCAGGAATACTCTGGATCACCGATAAGAAGACTCTGGAAGATCTGGATTCCGCAGATGATGTGTGTTTAGTTTCACCCAAACTCGAAGACTTGCAACCGAAAACCATCAGACTGGCTGAAGAGACCGGCAGAGAAAAAAGGACTTCAATTGAACACAGAGAAGATGAAGGTGATGAAGAAAACCAATCAACAGCAAAAACAACAACCGGCACCAATCACCACCAATGGCAGAGATTTAACAGAGGTTGACTCCTTCACTTATCTGGCCAGGAAGCATCGTTTCAACTACAGGCATATGGAACGGACGAAGATGTCAAAGCCAGCCAGAATCTGAAAGGCAAGATACGCCTTCATCCCCCAAAAACCGATTTGGAAATCTTCTGCACTTCGCGGCTTAAGGAACAAGATTCAAATTTTCAACACAAATGTGAAATCGGTTCTTCAATACGGGTCAGAAGCTTGGCCAGAGTGTCAGTCACGAAAAGGATTTCCAACAGCCTGTTGCAGATTTTCATCATTGAGGAGGCCGCCGAATGACATCACACGCAATGCAGGCCATCGCTCGAGTGGAATCCCATTGAGAAGGAACCAGGGGTCGTTGGTGTGAGGGTAAAATGGAGGAGATCGTGTGAGGGAGAGATGAGAGAGTTTAGTCAATCGTTGACAGCAGAAAACAGAACAAAGTGGAGATGTGTTGCCGAAGCCGCATGTTCCACTCGGAACGCAAGAGAATAATAATAATATTATGATAATAATTCCCCACTATAAGACTCAAAATATAATACACAAACAGAAGAGAAAGACATTATTAACTAACATACATACCAAAACTTACATGAAACAATGTGCTGCTGTCAATACCCACTGGGGATGTATCAATGTACCACCGCATAGATGAAATCGTCTAGCTCCATCAGGATAATTATAAACAACTGACGGTGGAACAAAATGATTTTCATCATCATCCTCGAGCAATTCATAAAGAGCTGGAAATGCGCTGCTTGCCTCCTTCTGATTTTTCACTTGTTCAGCTGTCTGATAAAACATTAAAGATGCCAGCCATGGCCATTCCCCGTATGCAGTAGCTATACCACCAACAATACGTTTCCTGATTGTATTAGTGAATTGTTGACTCCAAAATTCATCAAATGCATTACGACCACAATGTTCAGGTATTCTTTCTAGTAACATTGGAAAAAAATATACAAGATTACTGAAAAAGTCATATCCACAATTTGCAATTGACACAGTTCGAATCCCGCAAATAGTGTTACCAGTTCACTCGAGTAGCCAGCCAGAAATCCGGTATGGTATGAAGTGATTTGGCTCTCTGAGCTGATGAGCGTCGCCACAAACAAGTAAAACAGCCATCCAGTGTTTACGGATCACGTCGCTTTCACAAGCAAGCACTACTAGTTGATGAGATTGGTAACCTACTACTTATATCATAATTCAATAGTATATAGTGCTACGTGAAAAAGTGTTGATAAAATTTTTTTGTGTGTATTTGTTAGGAATAAAATTGAAACACTTCATACAGACAGTACGGTTGATTGGGTTCAACAAAGAAAGGCCAAATTCGTGTTTACACAAGGGGTTATGCGAGCTCGGCTTCTTTGAACTGCCTACATCTTAAACAATGTCAACATTATATAAGTTACAAAAGGCCTGACTGAACACGGTTCTTACAGTGGCGTTCAATTATTGATGGAAAGTATAAGCAACATAATTTCAAAAAGCGATGTAAGTAGACAAATTATTCAACCCTAAAAACAGGCTAACACTATTAACAGGGTAATTAGGCACAGTTCAGATTTTATTCAGAAACAAGGATTGAGACAAGAATGAGACACGATCAAAAGACAGAGTGAATTTATTTTAATAAATTTTGAACAGTGTGATAGTATGAATCTGTTCAATAGATATATAATACAGTGAAACAGTATTCAATAAACGAAATATTACCATACTTAGTCATGAGAAAAAGACGTAAACAGCGAAAAAAATTTCCTTTTTGACAATTCATTTTAATGAGCTGTAAAATCGATGCTGTGGAACCAGGTACATCGGTCGTTTGATGCACATCCTGTCAAAAAGGGTCAAATAACACTATCCAGCGTGACTGCAGAAAAGAAGTAGTGGCCGTATAAGGAGTGCAATAGCCGAACATCTAGTCACCACTGGTCATTCCATCTCAACAAACGCCTCCTTCAAAGTAATCTACAGAGTCAAGAACAACCTACCAGAGACAATACGTTTCCATCTTCTTGGCATTACACAAGCTCTAGCCATTGATTTGGAAGAACCAGAACTGTGCATACAAAAGAAAATTATTCAACCACTTCTACTATCATAGTAACAACTCTCTTGACTTAACTTAACTTTTGTTTGTGTGCCTATTTTTCTAACTACTTAAAACTCTTGCGTGATTCCGTATGTTATTTTGTTTCGATGTACACCCTGAGCACAACTCTTTCATCAAACTACTCACGCCATCAAGTAACTCTTCTTTAAAAGTTGTTTGTGACAACTCATCACTTTTGTCACTACTACCCTCTTATATCAACATCCAATTCATCTGAACTTACTAATTGTATTTTAGTTTAGCAAATTTAATGTACACTTACATACAAATAACTAAATATATATTTGCGATAGTACAGCTATGAAAATGAATTCCCTGAAAAGAGACTCTTCACTGAAAAAAATTATTTTTCGGAGGAATCGGTGAGACAAAATCTCACAGTGGGCAATTGCGAGCTTTCGGAAGCCAGTCAACCAGCTGATTTTTATCGTATTTTTGAAATCAAAGATGAGCATCGGGACGTGGAATATTTGTACAATCTACGAAGATGGCTGGAAAGGCTACCTGGGTAGCCAAATAAATGTGAAGATATGACAAAGAAGTGATGGATATCTGCCAGAGCAGACAGAATGGATGTGGACTGTCGAAATTGTCAATTGGAGAATCAGTAATCTACTCTGGTCGCCCAGACGACAAACACTGTGGTGAGAGTTGTCTGCTAGCTGAAAATTGGTAGACAGCAGTTTACGCCAATGTTGACGTCCCGAATCTCAGGTCATAAGAAAGAAAACAAGAACATAGACTAACTCAACAACAAATCACAGTAGACTTAGCGTGGGAGGATACGATTAGGAGATATTCAATGAATTGTCTAAGAAACGGCAAAAAAGAGATGAGAGAATAACCTTCGGCAGTAAAACAAACAATCAGAAGACGTCACTTCTCTGCTGACAATAATGAATAATAATACACATAAAAATCTATAAATATTTGTTGATTTTCTCAATAAATGAGCTGTTGCCTGGTCCTTGTCTCCTGTCGTTACAGCAAGAGCACACTGATCAGTAAGTGACTATCATAATGTAACCAGTTTCTGCCAGATCTCTAATGCATTGAGAACCAATCTCCTTCTGCAGGACAATGACAGAAAGATTCAACTCAGAATGAAAGAAGGACGGTTACAATTATTCAATGCCTTGGACAGTGCTACAAACATCGCGGAACAAGAGGAAAAGAAAGATTTCTGTAGACAGTTACAAACAGCGATGGACAACATTCCAAGTGGTGACATTAAAATCCCTATGAGCGATATGAATGTAAGCCAAACTAAGAGCAGATATTGCAGAAAAAGAACTCACCATGAGTTGATGGGCTGTGAGCCAAATGCATGAGAACGGAGAACTCTTCGCGAAATTCTGCGCTTTCAATGATTCGGTGATCGGAGGCGGAGTGTAGAAACACAAGAATATTCACAAAGCAACATGGATTTTGCCTGACGAACACACCACAAACTAGGCAGACTTCATCTTCATGCTGCCTGCTGGAAACAAAGTCGAGAAGAGGAGCAGATGTGGGCTAAGACCATCATCTAGTCCAAGAAACCCTCAAGGTCATGTTGAAATTGATGAAAACGAATGGAGATAGACCACAGTTCAGGTTCAAAATTCAGATACTGAAAGTCAAAACTACAAAAGAAACTTTCACAACAGATCAGATCAGATCAAAGTCAGAGGCACTACGTGGTATAGCCGAGGAAACCTGTGTGGAAGAACACTGGAACTTTGTGAAGGTGATATTCAAGGAAACGCGTACAACTGTTCTAGGAGGGAAGAAGAGACAAGGAATGGTTCTCGATGGATACCTGGCAGCTAATAGAAGAGAAGAGAGGAGGATGATGAAAGAGAAGACGACTCAATGCAAAAATTGACAAAAGAAGGAGAAGCTGAGTTGTATGTATACTGCGCTAAAGTGAAGAAGAGTGCTAGGAAAGACAAAAGGCAATTCTAAGACACATTGGCAAATGAAGCGGAACAAATCGCAGATGTAAGAGACCTATGTATACTATATCAGGTAACCAGGTCTCTGTTCGAGAAGAGATCACTTTAGGTGAAACTTATAAAAGATGCTCAACGGAACCTAATTACCGAGGAGGAGGAGAAACAAATAAAACAATGGACTGATCACTTTAAAGGACTCTTGAATCGACTATCGCCCACAACTCCCCCAGAAATACACTAACAACAACGGCACGCACAGAACTGCCTGCTAGTGGACACCAGTCCTCCCTCTAAATCAGAACCCTTGAATGTGATCAATGTACTGAACGTTGGCCAAAAGGCAGCAGGATCAGGTGGAGACCCCCTCCTCAAAAACATTCACAACGGGCCCAGAGACTGCAGCAGATGTGATCACGCCATTTCTGTAAGCGGTTTCTGTTTCACTGTCTTATTTTCGTGTCTTCCATATTTTGGAGCAATACAATAGTTGATTTTTCCCCTTTGAACTCAAATGAATCTTTTTCAAGTAGTGGTTTTGTAGGAAGTTTGTTAGGTTTCCATTGAATCGGGTCCCAGTGGCTCAATGGTCGACAAGCTCGCCCTGTAATCAGAAGGTTCTGGGTTCGAACCCTGTCAGTAGGTGTGTACTGGTTGAAAGTCCTGAACTAGGATGAAACAGCTTTCCTGTACTCTCAGGTTTTCCAGTGGTTCTCTAACTGATGTCAGCTCATGATGAAATCCTCCATACAATCAAATTTATCTCCCAGTTATTTGATATTTTTGAGGCGGTAAATGTTTCTCTCTGATATATCTTGTAATCAGGACACGCCGCAACATCATGCAAGCCCTTTTCACTATTGTTTTTCACTTTCATTCTTCATATATGTAATCAATTACATAACCCACATGCTGGTCTTCAAATTTAATCACGAAAGCACGTTCACTGTTTCACACTATATACCATAAATGTTTATTTTTCCCTTGTGTCTGTCTATTTACTATCCCCTTCTCTCTCTCTGGTGTTTGTAGGTAAGTGATACAAGCATGAAATAATATTTCAATCCTAAAAACCGCCTAAACTTCGTGATTTTCTGGCCTTTTCCGTCTCATTTCCAGTTTTTCTTTAAATTTTTTTTGAATAATTTTAGTTATCTATAAATAAAACGAATAAAAGGGATGAATTTTGGTTTCACAGGAATCACATATATATGTTGCCTAATATTTATGATCCTGAACTGTGTTAATATATTTCCAGTTCCCTACTAAGTACAAGTAAATTTATATAAGTAGATTTTATAGGTGTGAGTAGGTGTCTGAGAAAACTGTTCTTTAGACTGTTTGTTACATTTAGAAGTGAGTGTTTCCTCGTTGTGATGAGACAGGGGCCTTATTGTTTCATCATATGGAGAGAAAGAGAGTTCTCCTCTACAACTGAAATGTTTTACAATAATCGGTTTGTAAGGACTAGATTTGTATTTACGAGTCGATCATGGATTGATATAAGTTAGAGAACCATTGAAAGCCAACACTGGAGTACTGAACAGCTGTTTCATCCTAGTTTGGGCATCATCGGTAGTACAAACCGACTTACAAACCAACTACTAAAAATTAATCAGATGCTCGCTAGTGACTTGCTACAGAACGGAATTTCCTGGATTTCTAGTGAGAAGTCGTGACCAGTGAGGTCCATCCAGTTAAGTGTGAGGATGGATGTCTCACCGATGACAGTGGTTGGTGGTCGTGTCAAATTACGAATTAGTAGAAGTTAGAATTCATGTGCCGGTCACGGAATCGCGTCCCAGTGACTGAATGGTATACGAGCCAGCTAGTCTTGTAAATGGAAGGTCCTTGGTTCGAGCCCTGGTGGTGGACGCGTACT